ATATTGGGTACTATTCCGTTTTGAGGACCGTAAAAAATTGCAGCGAAAATATATGCGCAAAAGTGCCAAATCTAGCAAAAGCGTCCATTAACAGCGCGCCAAATCTAGCGTACGCGCTGATTTCAAATTGCGTAAGTTTTAGATAGTTCTATATTTCTTAAGACGCCATTGAAATACTAGTTTAATTTTAAATCCTTTTTTGATATCCTATAGATTTAACATTTTGGGAATTGCCCATGACGAAACGTCTGCAATAGAATTTTTTCAAAGAAAAGGCATCATTCATTATAGAAAATTATGTTTGAACAACCAACGAGATGAAATTATGCTTTAGCGATAACTCGATAGCGAAAGAACGATGCAGAAATCCATTCAGTTATGGTTAGCCTTTTCTTATACAAATTATAATAATAATCTGAAACATTTATTTACTCTTATGCTTCCATTCAGCTATGTTTAACCTTTTTTATATAAATTATAATAATAAAAAAAAGTATTGTATGAAATTAACCTTTCATATAAATTAAAACAATAATCTTTAGATAGTTATTTCGTATAATAAAACAAAAATCTTTAGATAATTATTTCGTATAATACTTCCTTTCTTGCGTTAGGGTTGCCACAATTATTTTTGGCGGCATCAATAATAGTTTGGCAATTTTTTACGGTCCTCAAAACGGAATAGTACCAAATTGATTATGGTTTAAATACTGAAATCTTAATTTAAATAGAATTTTTGTTATTTCTAAATATATTTGTAATACTGCCCCTTATTTTTCTCTCAGTATAATGACCGCAGTTTAAAGATCTGTTCTCGAGAATGCTCACTTAGCAAATAAATAGATACGTAAGAAAATCAATTCGATTTAAAACAAAGAAAAAGTACTTACATTTTAAACAGAAGAAAAATTGAAACCCAAAGTGGTCACTGAGGATAAATAATATTGATAAATGATAATACTGTTAATACAAAAGAAAAGAAGCTACTATATGACACTACCAAATATTCGAGCTAACTGACTGTGTTAGTTGATGAGTCGAGCCCTAACAGTTGCATTCTGGTATTGCATCCGGTGACAAGTTTAAAACGTAAGTCGAAATGAATTGTGCTGGATGGGCAGATATCACAGTGTCCAGCTGTCAGAATTCTAGGAATTTTTTACCTTTGCAAATTCCAAGACTCCAGTATACTATTGCTAAAAGGTTTTGTCTTCTACAATCACTTCAAAATCCATTGTACACGGAATTCCACTCCAGCCATTGCGAGCAATCGACGATCAATCAAAATTAGCCTCGTGATCGACTCGTTGGCCAGCCCTGGTCTATAGTATGTAAAATCCAGAAAATACTGGGCTAATGTTTGGAATATGGTAACAGGTAGTTTGGCGACATTTTGGTAAGGTAATAAAGGTTACTAGCTAGGACTTTAGCAGTGTACATGGATATAGTCAAGAGTGTGCGCAATGCCATTTTTGTGCAATTCTGGGATGTTTTTTTTAGTGAAAATATGTCGACGTCTACATGGATGATACCGTGTATGGCAACTCATAAAAACGCGGCAAGCAGTGGGCGATTCTGCACTTTGTCTTAATTTTGCACCTAATCTTCGTCTTCATTAAGCACTTTTGTTCCATAAAAGTTCTAACATAAGCGTAATTTGGCTAGCAGATTGTTGGAAAAAAATGTTGGAAATGTTGAGTAAAAAAAAAAAAAAAAAAAAAAAAAAAAAAAAATGCCTTTACTCAGTGAAAACAAAAATTAGCAGGTTGCTGTAGCAGGGTTGGTCGCCAAACAATCGCCAAGCTACCATAATCCAAAGATTAACCAAATACTGCTATCGATAGGTGCGAAATTGTTTCTAAGTGCTTATTAGCTAAAATCACGATCGGAATTTTCCAGAAAGTAGTGGAACAAACGTGCACAGAAATTTGCTTTTACAGGGCAAATTTATATATGAAACATGTAATCCCCCCTTTTGGATTAAAGAACTCTGATTCGTCTAAGTGCTTATTGGCTAAAATCCCGATCGGAATTTTCCAGAAAGTAGTGGAACAAACGTGCACAGAAATTTACTTTTACAGGGCAAATTTATATATGAAACATGTAATCCCCCCTTTTGGACTGAAGAACTCTGATTCGTCCAGAAATGTCACATGGCATGTCTCATTATCTCTCATTTCTCTGAGACAAAATAATCTGTGATTGGAAATGTGTACTTCTCAGATTATTGCTAAAGTCCTAGCTAGTAACCTTTATCGCCTTACCAAATGTCGCCAAACTACCCGTTACCATATTCCAAAGATTAGCCCAGGATTTAAACAATGGAACTTTGGAACTGAACAAGAAATTTACGTCTGTCTATAGAATTAGTACAGTCAAAAGTCGTTAATTCGGACACCCGTAATCCGGAATGATCTATAATCCGGACCTCAAAGCTAAAATCTTTCTGCGCATGCACCGCATTGACGCATGCGCATAGGTGTTTTACTCGTGCGCGCAAGACATTTACGACTGCGCATATGCATCTGCGCAAGTGCAGAATACGTTTTCGCGTGCGCGTTTAATGTATAACGGACGGTATAAGCTAAAATTATCTAATTATCTATTTCAGTTAATGTTGATAATTGCGTTGTTCCTTAATCTTCGAATTGGATCCGGCTTATTATTTTTTGCAGACTGTAAGAGCAATTTTATAAAAGTAAGCTTGAACTTTCGATTATGTCAAATAGAATTTCCGATGCTGGAGCTCCCAAAGGATCTAGAAAACGAAAGTATGTTTCGATGTCCATCAAACAAAAAAACGAATTGCTACAAAAAATGGATAAAAGGCATATCCTTTGTTTATCTAACCGTTCGAAATCTGTTTATCAATTTCACGCTGCTCTGCGCGGGGGGGGGGGGGGGGGGGCAACGTCGCGGCGCGCAATGAACTGGAAGTTGATCTGTCAACACTATCGTTATCTTCAGGGCAGATGTTTTTATTTTATTCGGCTTATAATTCCTTACTAAATGTAGTATTTCATCTCGATGTACTCCGTCTTTGATATGATTTAAATCAAATTCCTCGTCATTATAAATATCACGAATACAAATCACATAGTTTTCTGGTTGCAATTTTCTAATTTCGGCTATAAGTAAGGTATGCTTTACGCATCTGCGCGTTAAAAGAAATGTTTAATAAAGTAAACAAATAAATATTAGGCTTCTTTTTTGGTAAATTTGGATATCCTTTAGATCATAATTGCTCATTATTTTATAAATTACGGTTTCATATTTTTAGTTTTATAATTTCTGCATGCCATCTTACCAGATTTAAACTGATGATCTATAATCCGGAATCGCCGAAGTCCCGACGAGTCCGGATTAAAGACTTTTGACTGTACTAGCACAAAAAACAAAGCAACTTAACCAACTTACACTGAAAGAAATGTTTAACAAAGTAAACATTGCAGAAGGAAAAGTCCAGTAATTTGAGGTCCAGTGAGCGGAGAGGCCAAGCCACAGGCCTGCCACCTCCGATCCATTGCGCGGGATACGTGGCATTAAAAAAGTTACGGACCATGAAGGAAAAATGTGCTGGGGTTCCATCGTGCATAAATCACGTCTCTCTGGATGGGGAGCAGAACAGCCTCCAATAAACTGGGAGACACTTGTTCCAAGAAGATAAGTTATGTTGAACCGGTCAAACGGTCTGGCATGATGTAAGGGCCTACCAGATAATCAGCTAGGATACCTCCCCAGTCGTTCACGGAAAATTCCTGCCAATGTTTATGAGGGGTACTGCAGCGGAAATTGCTGTCAGACCAATTTTTTTTTTTTGTATATTTTGATAATCTTTAGATCATAAATACTTCATTACTTCATAAATCACAACGAGTTCAGATCTCAAAATTTGTACAATATATATATGCTTAAGATACTTTTCCGCCAACTTTAATTCACATACATTAAGTAGCTTGTATACCAGCTACTTTGACATATTTTAGGTATATTTTTTCTGTGAACTTTACACTAGATATTATGTTTAAAATCATTGCCAATGCTGTTGTCAAACTTGGCACTGTTTGACAACAGCATTGGCTGTACATAAACTGTACAAAAATGTACATTCATTAATGGGTTCTCTGCAGTAGTAAACCCATGTTCGTTATTCATTAAAATCACGATTTAAAATGCCTTTTTCTGCATCAATTATTAAATACCCTCGTTTACTCATGAAGTTGCATTTCGTCGACAATGCAAACATATAAAAAAAACACTACATATTTACCATCATTATTAAATACTCATAATTGTATAAATATATACAACTTATCTCACTTGCACATGTATACAGGTGCTTAATGCTTTCAACCTCGAGACATACTACATTTCACAAGGTTGAAATACAAACCTTAGAGACACACAAATAGTCTTTTTTTTTTTTTTTTTTTTAAGCTTTGCATATTTTATACATATCACACATGTATGTCAATCCTTTGATGGTTAAACTGAATAAAAGCAGACTGCAAAGAAAAAAATTCCAGAACTTTCTAAGGGAAACTATTGTACACTTTATCAGGAAATGATGAAAACCACACAATAATGCAACACTAACAAAATCTATCCACCTGTAAAAAATTCAACCTAGGGTTGAGTAGCAGAATTTCATTATCAGTCTTTTATAGGTTAACTAATTGCCAACTATGCATATTTTGAGACCTCCAGAAAATTTTCTCTTAAAATATGAGCTTTTGCTCCTTCAATGGGTTGAAGACCAAGGCCTATGATCGGTGATAAATGAGAATGGTGATGGTGCCTTCATCTTTTGGGAAGAAAACATGGCAAATTAAAGTCAAACTCTGGTACTATTGCTTGCTAACTCAATGCTTACATGATAAAACACAAGTGCACTTATGACTAAATAGCAACTTATAACCAAAGGGCAATTATGACTGGTCTATTATCAACACTTGATGTGTTTCTATATAAAAAAACAATACATCATATTTTCATGTATATCAGTTATCATACACACTTACATGAGACTTCTCTCCTGTTGAAATACGTAAATGTTCAATAAGATCACCTTCCTGCACAAAGGACTTATTACATACATCACACATGTATTCTTTAGCTGAATGGATAAGCATATGCTGATCAAAATTTTGCTTTTCTTGAAATGATTTATCACATATATAGCATACATGGGATTTCTCTTTTGAGTGAGCATGTAAATGTTCCACTAAATCATGCTTTTGTGTGAATGATGCATTACAAGTCTCACACAGATATTTTTTTGTTGACTGGTTGGAATCTATACAGTTCTGTTTTTGTGTACGTGACTTTTTAAAATGACTATATTCCATTAAATTCTGCTTTTGCATGAATGACGTATTAACCATGTCACATACACATTCTTTTTCTGTATGATTAGGTCCATTCTCCATTAAATTCTGCTTTTGTGCAAATAATTTTTTTTCTCTTGAATGATTATGTAAATGTTCTATTAAATCCTGCTTTTGTGCAAATGATGTGTTACATTTATCACATACATATCTTTCTGCTATATGTTTAAGTATACACTGTACCATATTCTGCTTTTCTCCCAATGACTTTTTCTCTCCTAAGTGAATATATAAGTGATCGGCTAAGTCATGTTTTTGCATGAATGACATATTGGCATATGTCACATACATATTTTTTTGCTGTGTGGTTAAGTGCATGCTTGAACCTAAAGTTTCTTCCTTCGTGCATATGCCTTGTTACATATATCACATACATGAGGCTTTTCTCCTGTATGAGAACGCAAATGCAACACTAAACTACGCTTTTCGCATAAATGATTTGTCACACAGGTTACAAAAATGTCTTCTTCCTGTGTGAGAATATGTATGTTCAATTAAATTTTGCTTTCGTCCAAATGACTTATTACACACAGTACATATGTGAGGCTTTTCTCCTGTGTGAACATGCATATGTGCCAGTAATGCATGGTTTTGTGTATACGAATTATTACATATATGACATACATAAGGTTTCTCCCCAGTATGAATGCGCAGATGCATTTGTAACTCAGAATACTCTGAGTAAATGACTTATTACATATAACACATACAAAAGGCTTTCTCCTGTGTGTACACGCATATGTACTACTAAAGTGCTGCTTCCTTGTAAACGACTTGTGACATGTAGCACATACATGAGGCTTCTCACCTGTATGTATGCGAATATGTGACATTAAATCTGCTCTTTTCGTAGGAATGATTTATTACATTTATCACAAACATGAGCTCTCTTCCCTATGTGGATAAGTACATGTTTATGTAAATTAGATTTATGTGAAAAAAAAATACCACACACTTCACATGCATGAAGTTTCTTCCCACTATGTAAAAGCATATGTTTCTTTAAATAAGATGGTCTTGGAAAGGATTCATAACAGATTTCACAATCATATGATTTACTCTGAATGTGGATATCCATCTTCAGTTGCAAGAACTTCAACAACAGAAATGACGTTTTTTCACAGGTATTTAGTAGACTGATTTTTCACTTCTCTATTGAAATATTTCATTTGTAAATAAGTTAATATTTACTTTCCCATTTCAAAATAAGACTGAGTGATTTACAACAAGTTGGAAGAAATCTCACACTTAACGCTGACGAAGTTCACGGACACATTACTTATATCGAACACACAAAGCAGCTGGATTAATGTATTGTGGTATAAATGAAACAGTAGAAAATTACAGGGATATTTTGGTCTTTAAATCGCTTGCATAAATTCGAGTTTGAGTTACGATATGAAATGAGCCTGAGATGGTTTAATCCTAGTATCCGGTGCACAAAGGATTTGGCGACTTTATGATGAGCAGTAAACGGGAGATATCAACACAAGCGTCTAGACCCCAAACCTCACTTTTGCTCATCGCACGGGTTTCGGAATGAGAGAGGGAAAACGGGAATTTCGCCCAAGCTCTCGCAAATGCTCTTGTTGGATTTCATCCAAGCGCTCACAATTGCTCATGGTCGAAGATGGCGTGCGATGTTACTAGCGCTTGAAATGCTAACGAATATGAGTGATACTATATTTACTTAGCGTAATTACATTCAGTCTATTGTGTAAGATTAATTGTGTGTAAAATTTCCGTTTGTAAATTGTGCAAAATTTTGTCTGAATGCAAATATTTCGCATATTTATATTATCAATATGAGCAGGCGATCTTATGCCAGCAGGTGACTGCATTTTAGCTAATTAATTGTTAATTGCATTAATTTAAATCTCATCTCTATAATGGGTATATAAGGGCATTATCGGACTTTTGTATGAGGAAAATAAAAAGTTTTACTTTTCATTAGCAGCTTTGATTTATGAATGTAAAAACCCTTCTTTGTATGAGATTGAAACTTTTTCAAAGCATTATTTTATTTAATATTTTTCTTATCTTACGCTTATTATCTTCTGATTCATTCAACTAATTGACGACTTTGTAAATTGGCAAAAATTGTGTGACTCATAGGTATTATGGCTCATAGGTAATATTCTGTTCTTAAATAAACAGGAAATTGAATGTGAAAAAAGAACAACCTTTATGGTTGTTATTTACATTTTAAGAGCAAGTAGGTACTTTTCTGCGAAATATACAGTTAAATAAAGCATGTTATTTAATTCCAGAAACACATGTGTGGTACATGCAAGCACGGATCGGCTGCTGTCGTCTTTATGCACAAAAAATGATTTAAAAATTGAAACTGATTGTTAAATAGGGGATGTTTCCATAACCGGCACTTGGCAAAATTGCGGATTTGTTTACATCGGAAGTGAGCGTACGTGCGCTAGAATATGGTAACCCTGATAATTGTTGCAACCCACACAGGGAATTTTCCTGAAGGAGGAAAAGGGAAATTATCTGTTTCGAACATTACGGTAAGAGAAAATAGAGTTTGAAAGTCGCAAATCATTATGATCATCATAATTGACTGTAGCATAGAGATTTATTCGCATTGCATCCAGTCTCTTATACAGCACGGAAAAAAAAAATTAAATACGAAGAGCGGCCCTTATTAATTCCGCAAGATTTTATCAACCTCACCACAATTCCGCATAAAACGTAAACAACGTATCCAGACTTCGTAATCGATTACAAAGTGCAAAGCATGCCGAACGACCTAATATTAATAATACGATTACGAACAAAAGCTTGGCTACTTTTGAACAATGCACTTGGCTCTAAAATTTATTCTGGTAACCTTACATTGCATCAGCGATTTCGAAAGGCATCATGGAAAAAGTACACATTTTTCGGTAAACTTCCGGTATCAGGGACTCAGTTATCTGTAAAATTCATGGAGGAAGTGTCTACAAGTACGACGTCGGACGGATAGCTCAAACATGGTGAAAATGATAAACGGCTGATCTTTGGAATATGGTAACTGGTAGTTTGGCGACATTTTGGAGGCGATAAAGGTTACTACCTAGGACTTTGGTAATAATGTGAGAAGCTGTTCGATTACCATATTGTGTGAGGAATGAGAGATCATGAAAGTCTGTGACATAATGAATTGAGTGTTAACGTAAGGGGGGGGGAATGGAATTCGTTTAGTATTCAGTTTGTGAACGACAAAGGCGATACGGTCTTTCGAAGGTTAGAAAGAATTTTACAGATAACTGAGTCCCTGATACCGGAAGTTTACCGAAAAATGTGTACTTTTTCCCATGATGCCTTTCGAAATCGCTGATGCAATGTAAGGTTACCAGAATAAATTTTAGAGCCAAGTGCATTGTTCAAAAGTAGCCAAGCTTTTGTTCAATCTGTCGTTGCTAAGAATGTCTATGTACAATACATATTCTTTGGTCGTTGTTCGTAGTAGTATTATTAATATTAGGTCGTTCGGCGTGTTGTAACGGGCTTGTAATTTTGAAGTTTTTATAACTTGTAATCGACTATGAAGGTTCTGATAACCGGTGATTCCATGATTAAATATATGTACCAATATTTACCGTCTCAGCTGTATGATAATAAACTGCATGCTCTCGCGTTTCCGGGCATAACAATAGAAAGGTTGACCAAAAAAATTTCATCCTTTAATGAATACGATTGTATCCTTTTTCATGTAGGGACCAATAATATGGATTCTACTGTGGATGACAGTGTCTTAAAATATAAAAGTTTAATTCGGGAAGTGAGTAGAGTGAATCCGTATGCGCGGGTAGTCATATCAGGAATTTTGCCCAGAGTGGATTCGAAGTATTTAACTTATAATGAGAGAGACGAATTGCGACCTCGACTGCGCTCTGTCAACAACAAGAGTTCTCAGTTTGATGAAAAAATGATTGATCTCTGTGAAGAGCTGGATAATGTAACCTTCTGCATGTCATCTCGTGACTGGAGTGGATGCATGGCTCTGGATGGGCTGCATTTGAATGCAGCAGGAACACGGCAGTTAGCTACACTGTTTGTTCAAGTTTTGACGCAACTTTTAACTGAGAGTTCCAAAAGTACCAGTAAAATAGAGCTTCGAAGTTCATTGGATTTTCCTCCTCTCTGTGATGGCGGCAGCGATATTTTAACATCTTCAGCCTCTCCTCTGTATTCTGAAGTTGTTGCTGAATCAGCTCTGTCGAGGTATGTATATATATATATATATAATTTCTTTCCTTCTTCGAAATTCAAACACAAAGAAATATTTTTACAGCAAGGCATTAAATATTTAAGCAATCTGTTTGTCAGCCAAGCTATGAATTTCTGAATCATACTAAGCAACTGTTGAACTATCAAAATCTTTATTCATTTTTCTTTTTAAAGTAATGAAATTTGACAAGTAAAATTCAGTGCCTAAGAATACAAATTGTATATTGTTTTCTTGAAAAAACTTAATGCTTCCTTGATAAAGCAGCTATTGCATTTAGTTGTGACAGCTGGAGAACGTAATCGCCCAGTCAATAACATTCAAATTTCTAATGTTCTCAAAGGCTTATGTAGTGGCTTCTTTAATGAGGAATTTTTATCTGTCATGGATCATTTCAGTGCAGAGGCAGATTACAGAACAAGAGGCCCAAGACTGAGTTCCTTATTTTATTATATATGTGCTTATTATTCTTCCCAACACTGTAAAATTCAAATTTTCTTTGTTGATGACACAACTATTCTCATGCAAGTTCAAACACTAGAAAAAAAATCCATATTCAACTGCAAAATTATTTCTGTTTGTAGAAATATGGTTAGAGATACTCAGTGCAAAGTTCTGTTTCACGCAAAAAAAGTTTAACTTGCTATCCATTCCCATGTTATTTCAAGGCTACAATGCAAGAAATCACATTTGCATGTAATCTACTTGATAATAAACACACTTTTAAATTTCACTTTGCCAAACTCTGAAATAAATTCTTTATTTCTGTGGCAAGCTTGAGATATTTTCTTGGAAAATAAGTAATTTTTCCATTCACAATAAAAAATTAGGCAAGTAAATTTTATTTGTCTTATATGTTCTGTTGGGATTACACAGGTGATAAACATCAATTTGTTTCAAACTGTAGCTGTTTAAAAGACATTAACCTTGTGACTACAGATCACTTTCATGCACAAAGAATTACAATCAGATAAATATTTGTGTGTGTTTATAATAAATCTTTTTAAAGTGCATCACTTTGAAATCAGTCCTTGTCCTATGATTCTAACATGCTGCAAATGACGCATCTATTAAGATAACGGCAAATTTGAAAGTGAATGACGAAGTACAGAGAATTTTTATATGTACATGTAGGATATTTTGGTACAAAAGAATCAGTCCTTTGCCAGTCTTAATTTAATAAATGGCATTTTTGCTAGTGATTAGTATGTATTTCTTCTGGTTTCTGAAAATCTGAACGTCATAAATGGCTGAGTTTATTAACTATATGCATTATTGTTAGTGTTTATATATATATATATATATGTTATAACTTACCAGCTGCTCATTTAATATTTGTTAAGAAAATAATACAGCCTACTAGGCAGTTAATCTTCTGATTGCTGAAAATATTGCCTAAAGTCACTGCAGAGGAGAGCATCTTCTAATGAATCATCACTGCTGAGGGGAGAAAACGCATCCCCCCATGGCCTTAATTTTTGCATAGCTGTCAAACTTACCTCAGAAACTGTGTGGCTGTTCTATTTAATAAATTGCTTATGGAAAAATAGTATTTAAACAGTAACATATATAAGCTACAGAATAAAGGGAAAAAACAGCATACAGGATAGTTTGCAGTGCATTTTACAGCTTGACTTTAGCTTTGATGCTCTAAAATTGTTTTTTTACAAAATAATGCAGAAAAGTGTAATCATAATTATTTTATTCCACAGGAAACTGCCATCACAGTTGAATGTGAAAGCTCCTTCAGAAACTGAACAGCAACTTCAAACAAGGTAGCTTTTTTTATGCAAATGCATCAAAAAAAAAAAAAAAAAAAAAAAAAAAAAAAAAAAAAAAAAAAAAAAAAAAAACAAACAGAAGTACTACAGAATCTATAAATTTTTGTTCATGAACTCTTTGCTCTAAATTGATATTTATTATACTTCATTGCATATAAATTAATTTTTTAAACAGAGAATTTCAACAGTGTTCATCTGCTGCTGTTACTCAAAAGAACCTAAAGGAAAATTCTGAATTGTCTTCTTTCTTGAGGTAAATGATAATTCATTAGTGGTGAATCGTAATCATTTGTACCCTATGCGGCATCCGTTTTTCATAACAGTTATTCCTTTTTAGTAATTTTGAGATTTCATGAATTATTAAAGAATTGGTAAATTTCTTTTTGTGCAACGGTAAACAAGATATGTTTCCTCCACCTTTCAGGAAATCTGCTCATCCAGATCCTAATGGTTGGATTCATGTAGGGCGAAAACGTTTCACTCAAAATATAGAACAGTGTTGTCAGTTTAGGTGAGATATTGTTTCTAACTTTCCAAGGACAATAAATTAGAGCTTTTATCAAGTAACCAAACACATTTTCAGAAAAAGGGACTGAAAAATGTTGTTAGAGCTGGCATGTGGGAATCCATTTTAATGGATTGGTTGAATGGGCAGCTCAGTTCAAGCTGATGCTTATCAAAGTGATGTAATGCAATCATTATACCAGACTTACCTCAAATTGGACATAAATCAGGACTAAAATTCTTCAAAATACATCAGTCGTTAATGGATTCATTTCGGCATTCATATTTTTCAGTTATAGATCATCATTTAAATTCTAAGATGGCATGCACAAATTCTAAAATTTAAAATATGAAACCAGAATAATTAGATCTAAAGGGTATCAAAATTTAGAATATTTATTTGTATATTAAACATTTCTTTCAAATGATAATATAATTCTATATTTCTTGTTCATACAAAGTAATATATATAATCAATCGAAATCGTTTTTAATGTAATGTAATTTTTGGCAACTTTTTGTTTGAATATAAGATCCTTTTCCAGAATGAAATTGACATAATCAAAAGTTTAAAAAGACTTAAATCCATTCGAAATTGTTATCAAATAGAATTTATTGACATACATTAAATACAGCGGACTAAAATTCTTCAAAATATAATACTTCAGCATCAACACAGCGTGCCTTCCACTGTTCGTAGCCCTTCTGGAAGGCCTCGAGTGTCATGCTGTCAAGGGCTCTCGTCGAAGCCTGTTGGATGGGGTCGAATCGCTTTCCTTTTAGGACTGTCTTGATTCGGGAAAAGAGGAAAAAGTCACTTGGAGCCAAGTCGGGACTGTAGGGTGGCTGCGTCAGTGTTATCACATTGAACTTGACTCAAACGTCGGCGGGTGCATTGTCGTGGTGCAGAATCCAGACGCCGGGCGGACTCGATCCCTCAAGCGGCGGAGCACTCCAACATAAAAGTCACCTGTGACAGTCTGTCCACAAGCAACAAACCCTTGTGAATCACTCCTTCACAATTAAAAAAACAATCAGCATGCACTTCACACGCGACTTGCTCATGCGAGCTTTCTTGGGCTTCGGAGAGGAAGCAGTGTGTATTTTGAGCTTTGACACTTCGACTCAGGATCGTACTCGTAGACCCAGGTCTCATCACCAGTCACCTTTTTCTCCAGAAGGTTCAGATCAACATTCAACCGTTGGAGCATTTCCTGGCAAACAGTCATGCATAATTTTGCATAACATCTGTATATACGCACAGAATAAACGACTTCTTTTCCAAAAGGAATTTTTTCAATGATGTCTGTACATACATATGTATTTATCTCACATAACTAAAAAAGATTAGCCGTAGAATGTTTGTTGTATATGGGACTGCTATAGTTGTGCATCTCTCTTTTTATTGTAATTGCCAGAACCAAATGTGTATATATACACACACACACCTTTACCTAGCCTTAATTTTCACAATCATTGGCCCTAGTCTATACTCCCAATTATCATTGAAATGCTTTAAATGATGAAAATATTGTTGTTTTTTTGGCGATGTAAAACTTTTTTTAAAAAATTATTTTTGACAAATAACGAAATCTATTTTAATGCGATCTCCAGCTTCCTTATGTCTGCAAAAATATCTGGGACATTTTTATACTCATTATAAAAAATGAAATTATGAGAAGTTTGACTCCCATGTGACAAAGACTGAGCAGTGTTTTAAATTTCAAAATCTGCAGTTTTTGTATAATTTAATAAGTAATGTGATGTGCACATCAGATTTTGCATATGTATTTTAGAATTTTATACTCTTTAATTTACATCTAGTAATAATGTATTAGATTGAATTAAATTTTATAATATATGTTTCTGATGTTATTTTTATTTTAATGTTTGAATTTGTGTTGAGTCAGAATACATACATGCGAGCATCTCAGTTAAAGGATGAAAATATGACTTTTTAAGTAAATTCAAAATAGTTTCATTCAAATAATTTTGAAACTGATAAAAAGCTTTCAGAGATTTGTAAAATAATAATAATTTGTAATTGTCTCCCGAATCCTTCTCTTGTAAACATTGTATGGTAAAAAATCATATTGTATGTATGTAAAAAAATCTGAAAATATTAGTATATATGATGTTTGAATATTCAAATCAAATAGATATTTATTGAAATTGTTTTGTTCTAAAGAGTTTATGTTCATAATGTATATTTTAGCATCTATAATCAGAATTACCTAAATCAAGCTTATGTTTGTTTGTCCCTTCATAATAACTGATGGGCAACAAAAATAAGCTTGTTTTAGTACCTGACAGATTGAAGGAAAACCAGCACCTGTATATCTAAGTGGGTACTTTAGGTATTGCTGGGCCTTGCTAAGTACTAAGCTTCCACCAAAATGGAATTTTGAAGAAGAATGCTCTGAATGTGGTCAGAAAGTCTCCTACCACCACCAACCTCTCAAGGATTTCGCCTCACCTTCTGCTTTTAAGTGCTCCTTGCTAAACAACCATTACACACTTACATTACAACATCCATGCCTTCTTTGGGATTTGAACTCGAACCTTTTGGTATGGTAGGCAGCGTCATTAACTACTATCCTGTCTGGGTGCTACAGCATAGTGTTGCTATAATGGAAGATGTCTTGTTCTGTGAAGACATGAAAACAATCACAAAAGAAAAAGATGCCTTTCTGCATGTGAAGGAATTCTTTGTGAAGTATGCTCTTTTGTCAATCAAAACAAAATTCAGAAATCGCTTGGATGCACAAGCAGATATGCGAATTGCTATTAACAATAAAGTGCCACAATTTGGAAAAAAAATATCCAATACAGAGGAACAGAAATAGTTATTAATTATTGTTTTGAAAAATTTATGCAAATATTAAATTTTGTAATATTTTTTTAGTTCCATGTTTTTATTTTTTTTTTTATTATTAAAATTTGATTACATAACTGTTTTCTTTTTCCTCACCCTCCCTAGAAACTTTGTTAGGGGCTGCAAGAATATAATTTTTTAGAACTGCTAGACATGGAAAAGTTTGGGAACCTGTGTCTTAGAAGATGATATTGTGAAGTTCAGTTTTGAACTAATAAAGAATACTGTATATGTACATATAAAAAAATCTAATATCTATGTGAATATGTTTCAAACCTGTTTCTGAATATATATATATTTATTTATATTTACATAATACACTTAAAAAAGGGAAGATAACTAAAGTTTTCATTTAATAAACTAAATATACATGCAGGAGTAGTGTTTGACCTACTCCACTCTCATGTAGACATTACTCCTGCATGTATATGCAGGAGTAGTGTTTGAGCCCAATACTGGCATATGTATCTATAGGAGTGAAATCATTAAGCAACTGGGAAACAAAATAATTTTGCCCTTTACAACATTAAATTTTTTCCATACATCTAAAGCATTCTTAGTTATATTGCTGTCATAAAATCTGGTCTAAATTTTTGTGAAATGTAAGTTAGTACATTGCTTATACCACTTGTCCATCAGAGTTCTTATGCAATCATTGGTTGTATGCATATATTGGAGTTTAAAAAATGATTTAAAAAAGCATGTAACTTCAAGTTGCATAAGTCAGGTATAACTCTACTTGATATGGGATTAAGACCAGGAAATTAGCTAGATGCTTTTAAACATGGACTGTTTATTGTATGACATTCTAACTCGATGAAAAGGAGATTATCATTTGCTTATATTATACATATCAATAAGTGTGGTGTTAACTTATTCTGAGTCTTTACATGCGGAAAGATCTTGAATAATCATAATAGTGCAACTTTATACCTGTTACTTGTGGTGTTTATTTATGTTGCAGCAGTATAGGTAATTATTTCTTAGATTCGATACATAAAACCCGAAAAGACAGATTCCTGTGGTTTACACCTTTTGTTTCCTTTCTAGCATCCACATCAGAGCACTTTTGGACTGACAGATTTCAAGTGTCCTTAATGTGCTTAAGCATAACAGTAAAAAATAGCTTATTTGAAATTCGAATCTTGGCACAAGTGAGTCGGTTCTTCTGAACCATATTGATCAAGTTGCTGCATAGCAATGAATTATCTAGGCATTAATATTTCAGAAAACACAAACAGTTCATTGTTTCTGGCAAAAAAAAGGGGATGCAATGTCACAAAATAAGCGAAATGTAATCACAGAAAAACGCAATGAAGTTCATTCACTATGACATAAATCAACAGTGCTATGTATTAAATCGATGAAGAATTAGCAATTTAAAAAAGACTGGAAGAAAAATAATAGATCGAATAAGAAGCAGACTATATTACTTAAAATGAATGACTCATAAAATTTCTGGGCTGGCGTAAACATTCAGGAAATGTAGTGTTAGAAGAATTAATGTGCAATTTGAGAATACAGTCAATGCGTGGGAAGGTGCAGAAAGAACGTCTATGCATACAACGTCGAATATATAATTATTGTTTGATCAGTTGACTTATGCGAAAACCGGTTCTTTGGAGAAATCAAACGAGAAACAGTGCTTCAAACGAAACATTTTCATTTAAGTATAAAATTATCTCGCTAGCTAGGCGAGACGCAGTTTTCAACGAAACATGTTTCGGTTAGGAACACTTCAGTAGTACACTGTTGGCCATTAAAATAGCAACACCGTGAAGAAAAGCAAATACAAAAAAGATATTTATTGCACGTAAACTGTATGGCATACGACGTGCAGTCTCCTCGCTGCCTCCAGACACATATACGGCCATCAGAATATCGCACGCTGAACAGGGTCATGTCTGAAAAGACAACATTGTGACATTCTTTTATCCAGCTTTGTCGTTTGGTGCACCAGAATCACAGTCCGTCTCTCTCTATGCTGCAATTTCAAGGGAAGCCAAAGTAGCGGTCATCGTGTTGATAGTTCACTCCGCTGCAGGGCTTAAATTTTAAAATTATAAGTGCCGGAGCCCTATGGAAGACCGCCAGCAAAGAGCAATAAAAGTAAATAAATAAATTAAATGACTATTAAACTCATTAATAATTTTAAAATTAAACAGTTAATTATAATCAAATTAATTAATAGCTATTTAATTAAAGTTTATAGATTTTATTCAATTAACAATTATATATTAATTCAT